ACTTTTTCTTTTATAAATATGCTATAATGAACAGCAATGTTTATAAATACTGTATAAACTTCTAAGTATTTCTTTAGAAAAGGCCTTGCTGGATCACAGGGCTGCACTTTTATGTGTGAGGCTGAACATTTTTCATGTCAACCATTTATATTCTATGAATTCTTTCTTCATGTTCTCTGTTTTCTTGTAGTTTGTTTTTTTCTTGTGTTTTTTTCCTGCATGGTTTCTTTGTATAGTAAAGACTGTTGTCTGTCGTGTTTCATGCACATACTTCTCTCAGTTATCATTTCCCTTGTCCTTTTGTTTTTAACTTGTTTCTTTTTTATATTTAATTGGAGGATAATTGCTTTACAATGTTATGTTGATTTCTACTGTACATCAGTGTGAATATATATATATATATCCCCTCCCTCTTGAGCCTCCCTCCCACCCCCCCATCTTTTAATTTTGTCTATGATTTTTTGCTTAGATAAATTAAAAAATTTTCATTGTAAATCCATTCATTTTGTGTACATGTACATATGTGTGCATGTATGTGTGATTCCTTCCCTTGTTTTAATGCTTAGGAATTTCTTCCCCACACTAAAAGTAGATTAATAGTCCCATCATTTTCTTTCTTTAGGTTTAGTTTCATTTTTGTATTTAGTTTTTTTTTTTTTAAATCTATCTGGAATTGATTTTGTATATGGCTTAAGATGAAGAACTAACTTTTTTCACTCATTGTGTTGGATTTTAGCAATACTTTTTACCATACATTGAGTTTTTACATTTATTACTGTTTGTTTCTTGGCCATGCTTATATGTTCCATTAATCTTGTCTTTGTGCTTCACGACAAACTTTCATTAGCTCAAAGAGAACTTTGGGGTTCAAGTTCTTTGGGCTTGAAGACCCCAAAAGCCTCTTTAGTCATTCATCCTGATTCATTACTTTTGATCTTAGAAGGCTTTCCACATCTGGCCCTGCTCATATGCACTGTGGGGCTTTTCCTTCTAATTGGTCTACTCTCTGTTTTCTGAATCACACATAACCTTATGAATCATGTTAAGTTTCTTGTATTTTCAGTATTACACCTGAGTTAACTTTAACTTTTTTCCTCTTCTCAGGCCAGTTTTGCATTTCTTTGCCTTCATGTATGCTCTCACTCCCTAGCATTTCTTCATACCAAGTTTGTGTTTTTAAAACTTGTTTGTGTGAATTTTATTCTTTTCCTGGTTTTCTTCTGTTACTTTTCTTTGGTTGAAGGTTTTTTTTAATCAAAATATTCTTTGACAAAAACATTATTTTTACTTCCATGTTTTATTGCAACTACATCTCTGCTTTCTCATGTCCTTTTCTGTTCTCAGTACCTTTTCCTCATTAAAGGAAAACATATTTCTCCTCTGAGCTGGTCTGGGGCTTGAAGGGAAGTCAGGTTCTTCCACACCCTCTGTTTTGAATGCCCTTTCTGGCTCTGCTTGGGAGGATTATTACTCACCTTTCAGATCCAGCTCAGATGTTATCTCCTGTGTGAGGCCTTTAAGGCTAAAATTAACTTCTCTCTTTTTTTTTTTTTCCCATTCTTAGGGCCCTCACTTACAGGCATCTTACAGCTGTAGTATAATTCATTGTTTTCACAGCCATTTTCATTGCTAAGCAGTGTCCTTCCTCTTCAGTGTCAGGGAAATTCCCAGTTATTCTCTGTATCCCCAGCTTCAGCTTAATCCTTCTGTATCCTCGATGCTCCGTGAGTGGACCCAGGAGGTGGGGTAGATTTGGTGCTGTACCAAAGGGCTCTCAGAGAGCTCCCCTCCTATAGACATTCCTCTCTAAGAATGAATACCAGCATGACCTTGACTTTCCCACCTCACCTCTCCCCTTACTCATCAAGCCACTTCATGAGACTGGTAGTTTTTTCCAGTAGGATTTCGAAACACAGATGTTCGACTCCTCACGCCTTTAAGGGGTGATTCGGAAATGGAGGCCCAGGCTAGGCCTTGAGGGGATAGGGGTCCAGTATACATCAAGTTGATTGGGGCAGTTGTGTTTGGTTATAGATGTTGAGTGTGTGGGAGACTGGAGGAGTGGGAGTAAGATGTGGGTCCACCCAGATGGGGAGTGAGGTGACCTTGGTCTAGTTATACTGTTGCTTCAAATGAAATCTGATGAGACTGTTAAAGACATTTGTTGAAGGAACATATTCTGGAAAGAGAATTGATGAGAAAACAAACTAATATATGTAGATTAATTTCCCATTATTATATAATTAGTTTTTTTGTTTGAACAATTTTCCTGTTTAAGTTTAAAAAAAACAACTTTCTGATATAGAGCATTAAAATGAAATATAAAACACAAAGCTATTTAATATCATTCCTTTAGAATAAAAAACTATAAAGCATTCTCTAAAAAAAGAAAAGAAAATGAAGAGTATTCTGCCACCCAGCCCCCTCTTCCCTCTTATTTTGCTTTCCTACTATTCCTTCTTACTCCTTCCCTCCCTCTTATTGTCCTTTTTCACATTTACAAAAAAGAACGTGTAACACTTAAAAAACTCCATGATACAAAAGAAACCATCTTCCACAAAATTCAGCCTCTGTAGGGCATGCCTGCTAATTCTGGTCCTGAGGGCAGTGTTGTAAATTGAGGCAATAGACCCCCCGTTCTCCCTTCCTCTTCCTCTCAACCAGTTTAGACATAGCGCCCGGGATCAGAGAGAGCAGAGAGTTGAGGGCAGAGAGGCAGAAACAAGACCCCAAAGACTTCTGTTGGTTGGAATGATCAGGGGGAAGGACTTTGAAAAGAAGGCTGGGGAAATAGGGAAAGAACGTTAGCTTTTTAGTTCTCTCTCTCTCTTTATAAATTTTTGCATTGTTTACTTATTGAAAAAACAAAAGACACTTACTTGGTCCTCCTACATTAGCAGGCAGATTTTTTTAACTACTGAGCCGTGGGGGAAGCCTGCAAATATAAAGAATATGTAATAAAGGCTTGGTTTAAAGTAAAAAAGAAATAAGGCCCTGGGCATAAATGGAGGAGGGAAAAGAAAGAGTAAAGGGCGGAATGACAAATGATACATTGCCTCAAGAGTAAAAGATGACATTTCAAATGTAAGACTATATATGAAACTGTCACCGCCTCTTCCCTTATTATTATTTGTTAATGCAGAGAAGGGGGCGACAGGATGAGATGGTTGGATGGCATCAGAGTCAATGGACATGAGTGTGAGATAGTAAAGGACAGAGAAGCCTGGCTAGCTGCAGTCCATGGGGTGGCAAAGAGTCAGACACGACTGAATGACTGAACAACAAATAGTGAAAAAAAAAAAAGCTGGATTTTGTTATTGTTGTCATTACTTATTATTGGTGAAGACCTAGGTTGGGGTGAGGAGGTGAACATAGGCTGGCAGTTGGGAAGGTTGGGGGGCAGGGAGGAACTTTTATGCTCTTTCTGCCCAAAGCCTGTGCTGGGAGTGGTTCCTGCTTCCTCGGGCTCAGCCAGGAGAGCTATTAACAGATGGGCTTGCTTGCCCGGGCAAGTGCAGGTGTGGTTCTAGCTGTGCCCAGCAGGTGGCAGCACACCCCAGAGGTCCTGGGCTAGGTGTAGCTGAAGGTGCAGCTGGCCCTGGGCCACGGGCCCTCCCCTGGGGGTGCTGGCTGCTTGCCTCTGAAGGCCCTTTTTTAGCACACTTTGGATTGAAATGTTTAGTGGTTCCCCGTAGGAAGCCTGGAGAGCCGGTCTGCTCAGCTACTGGTAGAGGTTCTGGGCTAGGGGCTTCTCCTCCCAAGAGATTTGAGCAGTAGGTACCGTGTACAGGCAGAGTGAGGGCAAGGCCTCAGAAAGCAGAGGATTTCTGCGATTTTGTGCTCTGCCTTACCTTATGAGTGGGGAATATACAAAAGAGAATCTTGGTAGCTATGTTTATTTATTTTTACTAATGTAAGAAACAATACTTATTTTCTTTTTAATAGAGAGGTGCAAAGATGAAAACTAAAAATAGACCATAGCTTCCCCACCAAGATAACCCGTTATCAAAAAATAATAATAATAATAATAAACACTAGTTTAAGGTTTGAAAAGTAGAACTACAGAAAAGTATACAATGAGAAATGAATGTTTCTTTCCCCTCCACTTTCAGCTTCTCTCCAAAAGAAACCACTGTTTCTTGTGATTGCTTCGAGGGAAAAAAGGAAAACAAAGGCTTGCACATGCTCGAGTGTTTCTAACTATTTACATTTCTTTTATTTTTATTTATTTTTAACCCCCAAATTATCATATTAATATATACTGTTCTAAGCCTTGTTTTTTTCATGCACTATACCTTGAAGATACTTCTTTCTTTTTTTTAAGTTGAGGCATAAGTGACACATCACATTGGATTAGTTTCAGGTGTACAACATAATGATTTGCTGTTTGTCATCATACTTAATCAGTTTTTTTCTTGTAATGAGGACTTGAAGATATTTCTGGACAGCACATATAGACTTTTGTCTATGATGATTTCTTAAATGAGTCTCTCCGTTGTTGGAGATTTTGGTTGGCTTTACTTTGGGGCTTATATAAACTATGTTTTAGTAGGCATCCTTGTATATTTATTTTAGCATGCTTTTACAAGTCCAAATTCCATAATAAGTCAAAGAGAAAGTACATTTAAAATTTTGATGGCTAAGTTTCCCTGTGGAAATGTTGCCCTGGTATACATTACATTACACTAAGACTGTTTGAGTGCCTGTTTCTAGGTAGCTAGGGGGAATCTGCCCCTGCCAGGAGCCTCTGACATCCACAGTGGTGAGACTGGACGCTTGGCAGGAAGCAGGCCCAACCCTGATGCTGGGCAGCCTTCAGCTCCATCCATAGCTTTTGCTTCCACTGAAGATCTCTACTGTGGTTGCAAGATGACTATTTCAGTGTGGCAACCTTCCTGTAGCGATGTAGAGCCCTCCCTGGATTTCCCTTATCCTGTTAGCAGTGTTTTCCTGTCTGTCTTGGGGTGAGAGAATGAATAACCCAATCTTGACTCTTCCAGGTGAAGAAGGCATATAGACAGAAGGCCCTCTCCTGCCACCCAGACAAAAATCCGGATAATCCGAGAGCAGGTGAGCCTCTCCTAGGCATGGGGAGAAGGAACCCAACCCACCTGGGTGTGGTGTGAGTGCCATGGAGGTGAACGCACGCAGCCTGACTTTGGGCACTGGGCCCGTGGCTGCACTTCACATGTAAAGGGCATCTGATCAATTGCTGATATACTCACCCTTCTTTGTTGGTTGGGCATCTGCTGATGTCTTCCTTTCCAGCAGCCTGTGGCTTCTTTGAGGTGCTTTTCTGAGGGAGCACACCATCACCAAGTCTAACTTTACTTTTCTCCTCTCTCTTTTTTGATCTCTATGTTTAGCTGAACTCTTCCACCAGCTTTCTCAGGCCTTGGAGGTACTGACCGATGCTGCCGCCAGGGTAAGCTCATCCTCCTCTGTCTGAATTGTCCCCCACATTTAGAGACCACGGCGTGCTTCATCCTCTATGCTCAGCCATGCTGTCCTCGCCTGGAGACTGTCACCAGACTGCCTCACTAGCTCTAGGGCTAGTGGTGGGGCCAGGGAGGAGGCCTGGCTCTGTGTGTGTTAGTTAGCCCATTGATTGCTCCTCTGTGTTCCTTCCTTCTGCCAGGCTGCGTATGACAAGGTCAGAAAAGCCAAGAAGCAGGCGGCAGAGAGGACCCAGAAACTTGATGAGAGAAGGAAGAAAGTAAAGCTTGGTAGGTGGCATCGTGGTGCTGGTGCCCTGCAGTTTCTCTGGGTTGTTTTTATGCAGCTCCCCCACCTTTGCTTCTGTCGCTTCAGTTCCAGCCACTCAGAGCTTTGGGCCCCAGTCCCGGTCAGAGAACCCTGTTCTCAGGGGTGGCTCCTGCAGGACAGTCTTAGGAATAATAACAATGACTAGGTGTGCTATTAGCCAAGCATTATGACAGATGTTTTACTGCCTCCTTTAATTATCACAACTATCCAGAGAGCTGGGTGTTACGAAACCTATTTTTATAAACAAAAGAAGCTAAGGCACCAAAAAGATAAGAACGTGCTGGAACCAGGATTTGAACCCACACAGCACGAGTACAATCAGTGTCCTTGTTGGCTGAGCTGTCGTTTATCTGTTTCATTTGTCCCAGTTCTGCACAGCTTTCACTCTGAAATCCCCTCAGAAGGATCCGAAGAGAGCCAGACATTCGCCTTTTGAAAAACAGTTTTATTGACATTATTTTGTATATCCGATTGTCCACCCATTTCAAGTGAACAACTCAGTGATTTTTAGTAAATTTAACAAATGGTGCAACTATGACTCTAAATCAATTTTAGAGCATTTTTATTACCCCTACAAGATTGGTTCAGGCATTCTTCACTCAATTTTTCTCCCCTTCATCTTGCCTGTTTCACATCCATATATTTATTATGTACATATACCATCCTAGTACCTCCATCAAAAACAAACAAACCTGGAGTTTATGTAAGTACAGTGAAGAGAAAAGAAAGCAGTGAGTCCCAGACCTGAGAGAAGCATTTGCCACAGCAGCTGGCCTGGGACAGAGCCACAGGCAGGTTTCTCTTGGAAGGTGGGAAGGGCTCCAGGCCCTGGGGTGATGTCCTTTCATGGAGGCTGCTGTCCCTGTAGCTGGGTCTGCAGTGAGGCTTGGTAAATGTGAGTTGAGGGGCAGGTAGAGGAGACAGTGGAAACTCAAGCACAATGGTGGGAAAGAGCATCGAAGCCGAGGCAAGGTCGCAGGCTGTGGTGCCAAACCGCAGGAACAGAGGCCGGCGGCTCCACCCACTGGCAGCCCTGACCCATGGCCCTGGGCTGCTGACATCAGCACCCACCCACACCTTGTTCACTGTTCAGAGAACCAGCTTGGTCAGCGGGAGCTGCTGTAACTTCCAGACCCCAGCCACTCAGCTGGAGCCTATACTCTTCCTTGTGACAACTTTTCTCAATGGAAATGAATCTGGGAGCACATGGGCATGGAGGGAAGGAGCAGAATTACTGGATGGGTTCATGATATATGAGACTGGGGTAGCAGCCAGAGCCAGGTGGGCTGGGGCCATGTAGAAACTGCTTAGACCAGACATTGGGTCATCCAACCCTTGTGCCTAGACCTGGAGGCGCGGGAGCGGCAGGCCCAGGCCCTCGGCAGCGAGGAGGAGGAGGAAAGCGGGAGCGCCAGGACACTAGAGCAGGAGGTGAGCATCCAGCCCCTGCGACCTTCTGCAGGAGGAAGAGGCTGGTGGAACTCGAGGCTGCTGTGGCGGGCGTGCCCTTCCCACCTTCCCCTGTGGGATCTGGGTTGTCTGTCCCACCCGCAGGTTGCTGAGCCTAGCTTGCAGGTGGAACGTCCCAGGGACCTTTGCAAGGTGAGCCAACCTGGAATTGGATCTGCACAGAATTGTCACCCTCCCCAACCCCTGCTCTGCAGATCGAACGCCTGCGAGAAGAAGGTTCCCGGCAGCTAGAGGAACAGCAGAGGCTGATCCGGGAGCAGATACGTCAGGAACAGGAGCAGAGGTTGAGAGGTGAGAGTCCGGCCCCCACACCAGCCTCCCACTCTGAGGTGGCTCACGGTGGCCACACTGGCTGCTCGGTGAAGTTGATTTGGAAGCTTCTACCTGCTGGAACCCTCTGGGTACCCCACTTGGACACATGCCACCTGTCCTTTCTTACAGTTCTCTGGGGCTTATTGGCTTTTCACTCTGCCTGAGATCTCCTGGCCCCATTTATGTTGGCTCTATTTTTGGAGCAGATCACCAGGGCAGGGTGGGGAAGGCTCTGGGACACTTTGTTTCAGTAGAACTGTGAGGTCTATACCTCTGTCTCTTGCCCCCAGAAGACATTCACAGCCCCTCGTTGGTAGAGTGCTGATCATGGCCTCCAGCAGGCAGCTGGGCTGCTACCCTAAGGTGGCAGCTCCTGGGGGTGAGGGTGGGACTGCTTCTAATTGCCCTCCCAGGCTCCACAGCAAGGCAGAGCAAGTACTGGCCTTGGACAGGAGTGATCTTTTCTAGGTCCTTGTGGCCCTAGACTCTGTCTCCCCTGGGGGAACCTCTCTGTCATAACCTACCTTGCTAATTTTCCTAAATTTTCTAGGAATGGCAGAAAATCCTGAAAACAAAGAAACCCCCAAGCTAAAGGTGAGCCCTGCAGGGCCCACAGGCCACCTCATACTGCCTCCTCTCAGCAAGAAGAGATGCTTCCAGGGACACCAGGACTTGTGGTGGGGACACTGGATCTCTGGGAGCCACACCACTGCCCACATGCCATCCTTCCATCTTCCCATGGCCTGGGCGTCAGGATGGCCCATCAGAGCTGGCCGTGAAAGGCTGCTCTTAGCCCTGAAGGCTGCAGGGCAGCCCTCCCTGAGGCCCCTAGAAGGAGAGCATCTTATAGGCTCTGTAAGAGCCCTGAGACTGTGGCCGAGCAGGCCTCCTGCTTGTCCATTTTTCAAGGGGAATGCATTTTCTGGGGAGTGCTTCCTAGATTACCACTGCCTTGAAGACCAGAGGGGTGTCTGCTCAGTTTGTAAAGCTCAGGTGCATGGTCTGGTCCTATTGAGAAGTCAGTATTTAATGGTGGCCCACACTGCTGTCTTTTCAGCTCAAGTGGAAGAGCAAGAAGGAAGCTGAGTCACAAGGCGGCTATTCCAGAGATGTCCTCCTGCGGCTTTTTCAGAAGGTCTGCTCTGCTGACTTCCCTCTTACCCATCATCTCAGTCCCCACGTCAGCCCAAACCTCAGGATCCCCAGGCCTAACCTTCCTTCACATCTCTACCTGCCCCCTTTTTTTTTTCCTGTGCCATAAACTATGTGCTAAGTCATTTCAGTTGGGTCTCTTTGCGACCCTATTTACTGTAGCCTACCAGGCTTCTCTGTCCATGGGGATTTTCTAGGCTAGAATACTGGAGTGGGTTGCCATGCCCTCCTCCAGGGAATCTTCCGCGCCCAGGGATTGCACCCTTATCTCCTGTGGCTCCTGCGTTGCAGGCGGATTTTTTACTGCTCAGCTACCAGGGAAGCCATAAACCACAGGATAGTCTAAAGACTTCTACTCGAGCCATGGCCCTCTAGTCACTTGTGTTGCCATGTGCCTCCTCCAGCCAGATCTAGCCCTTGTCATCCTTAGAAGTAAGGGGCTTGGCTGGGTGTATGGGGAGAGAGGAGGTGGGTGCCTGACACTAAAGCTCCATCCTCTCCATCTCCTTCAATCATGGAGGCAGCTGTGTGTCTCTGCTGGTCCGAATCCCCATGTCTGCCCAGCTCTCCTTTGCTGTCTCCTGCATTCCTGGAGGAAAAAAAAAAACACAGCACAAAAACCGTTCTTTCCCATCTCTGATACCCCTCTCTGGGAACCTAGCAACAAGAGGTTATCCCCAACCCAAAATGACTTGGTTGCCTCTGGGCAGCCTAGGCTTATCTCCAGTGTGAGCTGGGCCATCCTGAAGGCTGGGCCATGCTTACTGGGACCCCTTACCCTCACAGTACGGAGAGGTGCTCAACCTGGTACTTTCCAGTAAGAAGGCAGGCACCGCTGTGGTAGAGTTTGCAACCGTCAAGGCTGCGGTGAGTGCTCTGTGGGGCTTTGGGGGCCACCAGCAGCTCTGCCATTCAAGGGGAGGAACTCAATTCTGTGGGCCCTCTGAGCTTAGGTGTCCCCACTCCTTGGGTCAGCTCAGAGCCAAGATTTCCCCGAGGCCCCCAGGTCCTGGGAGAGGAGACACAGTGAATGGATGGATCGGAGAATGTTCCAGGGATGGTGTCATTTCCTACTGCCTGGCTCCACACCCCTCACCTTCCCTTGGAAGCCAGTGTGCCTCCAGGTGGGGACCCTCACAGAGCCTTCTCCCCTCCCCCACTGCCCAGTCAGAAGACTCACATTTCCCGTGAGGAGGGTGAGAGCTTCAGCACACCATCACATGAAGGCTGCTCCACTTTGCTTGGAGGATGAGAGTGCTGGTTCTGGTTCTTTCTGTAAGGGTAGAAAGAGCCACTGTGTAGCTGACTGGATTGATGGGACTGGGACTGGCTGTTGTATTTGACAGGAGCTGGCTGTCCAGAATGAAGTGGGCCTAGTCGATAACCCTCTGAAGATTTCCTGGTTGGAGGGACGGCCCCAGAGCGCGATGGGCCACCACCACCCAGGACTGTCCCAGGTAAGGAGCCGGGCCTCACCCTCCTGGGCCTACTCAAGCTTCGGGGTGCCTCTTCCTTTTGGGCTCTTCTCAGGGCCCTTTCCTCACAAACCCCAGTCATCGGGACTACAGAGAGATGGGCAGGTCTGCCCACCCAAGCAGGAGGACTGTGATTCCTTGCTGCCTCTTTCCAGGCTGGCTTGCCCTACACACAACTCTTAGACCTTACTTTCTGTATTCTGGTCTCCTTTGGGAGCTCTTATCATCATCCAAAGGTGTTGCCCTGGCCTGTGGGTCGCTTGGTTGCTGTGTGAAGCATTTGGTGCTGAGATGACCCAGCACTTCAGGGAAGGGCTGGGGAGGAGGGTAGCTGCCTCCTTCCCCCAACTTCCTTCCAGGCGTGTCTGTGGCTGTCCCAGACAGGGACCTACTGTCAAGAGGCAACATCTCCTCTTTAGAAATAACACTGGCTACCCTGCCGACACAGGTGCTACCTGGTGCCTGACTCTCGGGGGGAAGCACAGACTTGAGCTGACACACAGCAGCTCTTAGTCCCCACGGCCCCACGAAGGCTTGTGTTTACCTCCCCCCCCCCCCATACATGAATATATACACATACCTGGCCCAGGTCACACCTGCCCCCACTTTGGTGAGGCAAGAGCTCTCTCTTCTCTGAAGCGTCTGGGGGTCTGTGCCTCAGGCTGATGTGTTCCAGCCCCTCTGTGGGGAAGAGTGCCCCTCAGCAGGTCAGCAAGGGCTCTGCTCCCACTGCCTCTGGCATGTCCCCCTGCTCTCTGACACAGCCCTCACCCGTGAGGATGGGGTGTTCTCTGGAGTGTGTCCTAGACCCTGGACAGAGGAGGAAAAGGAACTGCTCTGAGCCCGACCTGGGACTCTTCTTTAGAGACTGTTTCTTCTGCCTCAATCCCCGTTAAGTCCCAGCATTTCACAGCCCCAGATGACACTGCATAGGCTGTGTGATAAAGAACTTTATTTATCATCTGCACCCACAGGGGAGCTTTCCGCTCGGCACATGCACACAGGAGTAGAAAGGGGGAGGCCATAAGGCTTGCATTGTGGAGGCAGTGTGTGTCAGAACCACATGCCGCCAGCCAGGCTCCGGTTCCAGGTCTTCTGGCCAGGCGTCAGGGTAGCGCTGCAACCCCCATCGTCAGAGGCTTTGAGCAAAGCTCCTCGGTCCTGGTGGGGATTCTGGAGACCAGCTGTGCCCCTTCACTGTAACAGCCTTGAGCTTTGTGTCTGTCCCCTGATCAGACCTCCCATATTCTCTTGGGTGCAGGAAGGAGGGAAAACTGCCACTATATTTTGTTGTATTTCCCCAGGGCTCCCATCACTAATATTTCCGAGAATTCCCCAAAGCCTCTCTTCACAAGCTGTCTGTGCCTGACATTCCCTTGAGTTCCTTCCTTCCTTGGGCTCCAGGGAGTGCTCCGGGCAGCTGTGTTGGCACTTTGAGTCTCTCACACCCCCTTTCCTGCTAGCGATTTCTTTGGACTTTTTCCTGAGTTACACTCTGTATCTCCACTGGCCTCACTCTTCCTGCCCCACAAGCCCCTCCCTTCCCTGGCAGGTCCCATATGCTTCCCTTGCCCCCACCAGGCTGTGGTCTAGGCCTGTGTGGCCCAATAGAACTTTCTCCAGTAATGTTACCGTTCACCATTTGCCGTTCAGGGTGGTAAGCCTTAGTCATATGTGGCTGCTGAGCACTTGAAATGTGGCCAGTGTGACTGGGCTGAATTTTTTATTGTATTTAGTTTTACTCATGAAGCAGCCACATGTAGGAGCTGGCACAGCACACCCATCTCTGAGCCCCGTCTGTGTTCTCCACTCCCAGACTTGCCCCTTAAGCCACCGTCCCTCTGCCTCCACCCAGGCCTCTGCCTGGTCCCTGTGGTTGCAGGCGTGGCCTCCTTTCCCAGCCTAGCTAGCTGTCTTCAGGGCTCCTGCCAGTAGGTGCCCCCTTCACATTTCTGGCTTGCCTCTGTACCTCTGTCCCTCCACCCTGGGGTGACTCAGAGAACTGTTCAGGACCCCGGGGGGGGGAGGGGGCGCAGGGACCTGAATTTCTATCCCTAACTTAATCCCCGACTGTCCCCTCCTCTGGGTCCCCAGGCTCCCACCTCTTTCAGTCACCCCTACCCACCCTCCCCCCATTCAGAAGCTGAGCTCACTGGGAAATTGCTCTCTTAGCATCTGCAGAACCTCCTCAAGAAGTGAAATCCCCAGGTCCACTTTGAAGGAGAAGAAGGGATCGCTGAGGTCCGGAGCAGGTGTCCTCTGGAAGGGGGGCGTGTCCGCAAGGTCCTCCTCGGAGGATCGGTGGAGGGTGTCTGCCACGGAGAGCGCGGCGGGCAGGGTGGCAGAGTAGGCGGCAGCGTACTCTGCGGAGGGGGCCTCTAGGATGTTGGGGCAGCTGAAGCTTTCCCGGTGGAGACGTGGGGGCTTGGGCGGGGCCAGCAGGGTGGCCCGGGGCTGCTCGTCCCCCCACAGCGGCAGGCGCCGGCCGTCTGGCCTCCCGCGCAGCTCCCGGATGACCTCACGGTTGCTGTATTCCTCATGGTCCCCCGCAGCCGTGCTGGCCTGGCTGAGCACGCTGCCCTGTCGCCGGAGTGTCCGCGGCCGCCCCAGGCTCAGCCGCTTGAAGAAGGAGGGGCTGCGGAAGGAGCCTTTGCGCCAAGTCTCCATGGGGCCCTGGGGAGCCCGCAAGCCAGCTTGGTACCTCAGAAGCCCGGTCAAGGGCAGCTGGGGACCATCGGGCCCCTGAACAGCGAGAATCGGGCAGCCCTGCAGGCAGAAGCAGAGGCCTCCGGGTTTCTGCTCAGCACGGAGCGTGGGCGAGCATCCTGGATGATGAGAGGGCGTGCAGGGCAGTCCAGGAGAGCCAAGACAGGAGTTTCCCAGAGGGGCAGGAGTGGCCCGGTTACTCCATAGGGTAATGGAAAAACCCCAGGAGGAGGAAACAGCACTTACGGAGCTGGAGTTCTAGCAGTTGTGGTAGATGAGAGCTGCATTGTCTTCCCCGGGCCGGGCTTCTCACCGGCTTGGCTGGCTTCTCCCTGGCCCTGGCAGGGGACCGGCCTCTCTGCTGGTAGCTCCCGGACTGTGATTAGTGGCTTGGCTGTTTGTGACCGCGTGTGGCGGTGGCGATGTTTTGTTGTCTTCAGGTGAGTCAGTCAGGTGGGAAGTCGCGTTTCACGCTCTGAGGTAATTGCAGCATCTGCAAGCTGGGGTTTGGGCTGTGCAGCCAACACCCTGGGGCCCCAGGGAGCTTAGGATTCCTCTGGGGACTGTCCGGGGCAGCTTTGCAGTGTGGCTGTGTCGCCACGCTACCTCCTCTTCCCCCACAGCCTCAGTGCTCTGGGTCCTGGCGGGCAGCCTGGCTCTCCAGCTCCTGTGTGTCTGGAGTGAGGAACTCAGAGGTGGGAGTTAACTGAAAGGCGTGTGGAATGACTGTTGGGGAAGGAAGGGACCTGTCACTGGTGTGGGTGACTCAGACCTGGGCCCAGTGACAGGCTCTCATTAGCAGAACCCACAGGGATGGGGAGGAGGAAAGAGGCAGAGGGTGTGTTAAGGGTGAGCAGCCCTGCACCTATAAAGTGCTGGCTCCTCCCCGGGGCGTGCCAAGGGTGACTTCAGGTTTTCTCAGCAGAGCAGCATTACCTTGGGGAAGGAACTGACCTCCCCGTGGCCTGACATCAAACCGGGTTGCTGTTTCCTCACCCTTCCTTGATTTACCCAGGTGGCCTCACGGCAGGAAAGGACAGTTGAGGGCCAGGGTCCTACCTTCCTGTCAGGCTGTGTGGGCCTCATCTGGGGTCTGTCCTTAGGCTTGGGCTGGGCCAAGCCTAAGCGGTGGGCCTGGTGGGGAGGGCAACTCTCCTTGAAGTTGCTGCAGCTTGGGAGAGAGGAGGAGGCGTGGGGCTGTTGGGAGGAACAGGGGGATCTGGGCCGAGTAACACTTCCTGGTTCCGTACATCCCCGACTCCAAACCAGTTGGCCAGGGCCTCGCATCTTAACCCCAGCCACTCCCTTCTTATTCCCTGGGTCACTGACCACCAAACTTTCTTCCTGGCTTGTTCCGTGAAGGTGCACCAGCTTGGGGTACTATGAAAAGCTCTCTGCTGTGCAGCCCCCTCTGGCCTGGCTCGCTTCTGTGCCACCTCTGGTGGGCTTCGCCCGTATTCTCACAGCTTCAGCTGCACAGAGGGAGGAAGTGGATCTAACACCCACTGCAGACCTTATCAGGGCATAAGGTCGGTGGCTTGGGGCTCTCCTGCAGAGCTGCCTCTCCAGCCCACAGCCTTGGCCTACTGAGGTGGTTGTTTATTATTCTTTTGATTATTAAAATACTGCACTCTTTAATCCCTCACACTGTGCTGGCAAGATCATAAAAGAAGAAGCCAGGGCCCTGCCCTCCGGGAGCCCTGAGTGTATTTTTAGGAGGCAGGCTGGCCTCTTGTTTCCGTCTCCTCCTAGGGTGGGGCTCCCTCTTTGTCCTTAGCAGGAGCCAGACCACAGGAATGGTGGGCAACTGGGAGGGGGCAGTGCTCTCACCTCCCCCTGGCAGAGCCCGTATATTTCTGCACCTTCAACAAGCCCTCTTTACTGGGAACTTGTGAAAAGCAGAAACCATGGGGTGGAGGGCATGAAGGGAGATGAGGGCCTGGCTGGAGCATGAGCAAGTGATTCACCAAGCTGACTGCAGATGTGAAGGGCCTGGGAAAGGGGGAGGTGTGGTGGGGTGACAGCTGCTTGATGGGCTGGAGGGAGGCAGCTGAGCAGCTGGCCTGGGGCCAAAGGCCTGCTTGTTGTGAGGGAATATGGGTGACTTGGGATTGTGGGATGTTCCAGGGTCCTTCCTTTCCCAGGCAGCCTCCCTCCTTGACCGTTGGCAGTGGCTCTGCCTAGGCCCTGTCCTCCAAGTCTGAAATCTGTGGGACACTGTCCTGCCACCCTGATCCCTCCCTGTCTCCCTCTGTCCCCAGGGCTCGGTGGTGTCCGAGAGGGACTACGAGAGCCTCGTCATGATGCGCATGCGCCAGGCAGCTGAGCGGCAGCAGCTGATTGCCCAGATGCAGCAGGAGGACCAGGCTGGGCAGCCCACGTAACCTCCTGCCTCCAGCCCTCCCCTCCTACAACCCTTTTCTTAAACATCACCAATAAACTTTCTGTTTTTTAAGAGTCTACCTCTATTGCATACATAGGTATAGGGTGTGGGCCTACCCAAGCGTGGCCCTGGCTTCTGGGCTCTGCCCAGGCCTGGCTCTCCTGAGCAGGGAGTGGGCTGACCCCAGGGGCGCTCCACTTGGTGAGAGTCAGTGGCCAGCAGAGCAGAAGAGCAACCTCTCAGCCCTTTATTGGCTTGGACTAGCTACGCAGGCCCCACCCACCCAGTCCTGGAGCCCTGCTCCACAGGGGCACCCAGCTCCCTGCCAGGGGCAGCCTGGCTCATCAGCCCCTCAGTTTTTGACAGAATAGGGCCTCCTGCAGGGCCTGTGCCAGGCCTGAAGCTGGAGGGGCAGCTGGGGGCACCAAGGCCAGGGGCCCTACCCTTCCACACTCTAAGACAGTTTTCAGAGAAGGCCATTCATTCACTGCCCAGTGGTGGTGGGCCAAGGAGAAGGACGATTTGGGAAGAAGGGGCAGGGTGGTGAGTGAGGCAGGGTCTTGGGGTTGGGACCCATGGCAGCCACTCCAAAGAAGGGGTGACTGGCGCTCCTCAGTGTGGGAGGGTCACTCCTTGTGCAGGCACCACACCAGCGTCTGGCCCACCCCTGTCATGCTCAGCACACGGAAGCCCCTGCGCTCCAGCTTGTCCAAGACTATTCGAGGAGGGTCATTCACGTAGTACTCAGAGCTGCGAAGAGAAGGAGAGTGGCATGAGAGGGTACACAGCACAGCCCCGCGTACAACCTAGGGTCTGCTGCAGATTCGGCCTGTCACAAGCACTCCTAATAGGACTGCTGTTTGCAGGTTGCCTTCTGCAAATGTTCCCTGCCTCGTCACCTGCTTAGCTCTTTGCACCATCTCATTTATTCCTCTCAACAACCTAAGCGAGGTACTGTTATTTCCATTATATTTATAAGAAAGAGAATCAAGAGGAATAAAGCAGCTTTTCTGATGTCATCCAGATAGTAACACCCCTATTAGCCTGAAAATAGCCCATATACCCTGGGTCACTGCCAATTTGGAAGGAGCAGCCTCCTTTCCCCAGGGTCATCCTCCAGGCCTCTGTCCTCTTGCCTGACTGTCCTGCAGACCTGGAGCAATAAGGTTGGCCTTTAAGAGCTCCTGGCTGTGGGTGCTGTTCCTTAGGATGGAGAATGCTTGGTTTCCCTTCTTTCAGGGTTAATTGATTCTGAAGGGCCATCAGGTAGATAAAGAGCTCAAGCCCCAGGCTGGGCATCTCAGAGACAAAAGCCTCATGGCAAAGGGATGGGGTTGGCTTCAGCTCACCTCCTCTTTCCCTTCTTTTAACTGGGGTACACTCTGGTGACCTTTCTTAGGAGTTCCAGCCTGTGTGGACAGGGTCCACTGGGTAGGAAGGAATGAGGGGCAGAAGAGGAAGTAATGATCACCCTTTAGACTTGGAGCTGGGGCGAAGGATGCCGAGGGAAGTGGTTTAGTCCCCAGGCAGCAGCTGAACTGGAAGCAGGACCCAGGCATCCTGTTCCTAGGGCTGAGCCTTGTTAGTCAGCTCTTCAAGCCAGAGCCTTTCTCTGTGTCTGTCTTGACTTTGATGGGATTCAGCTTAGAGATGAAAGGGTAAGGCAAGGAGCAGTCCACTTGTAGAAGTCTATACTCAGGGGACCGGACTCTGTCCAGGGGCTCCCTTGTGAAGGAAGGGCCAATTGAAAAGCTCTCAGAACAAGTCTGGGGGGCTGTGGTGAGGCTGCAGATGGGACCCACCCTACAGAGGACAGATCCCCAGGATGCAGGCATAGGGGTCCTGAGGCTGGGCAGGGGCATTGTCTTGTGTAAATGGAACAAAGACAGGCCTCCGGGCTGGCAGGGAGAAGAGTCTTAGGAATGCTACTACTTACAAGTTGTTTCCCAGGACACTTCTTTTTGAGGCCCCCAGATGCTGCATCAGTTCTGGATCTGAGTGCTCATCGCCCACCATGGTGGGGCCCACCTCCTGCAAGATAAGCCACAGAGGCTGCTTGGCTGTCTGCCAGGTTGAGGTGTGCAGTTAGCCTTTATCTGAGCCCACTTCATAAAGGCTGGAGGGAGAGGGAAGGAGTCTTGGGGACTAAACACAAGCTGGGAAGGGGTGGAGTCCATCAGTCATCAGACTGAGCAATGTGGGGGCTCCTTGGCCCCTCTAGGCTGGACCAGGCAGTGCCCAACATTGGCACCTTCATGCCAGGCACCAATGCGTGTATCTGTGTATCAGAATCACCCAGAGAACAGAGAAATGCAAATGTATGTCCACATAAAAACTTGCACACACAGTAGCATTGTTCATAGTAGCCAAAAAGTAGAAACAACCGAAATGTTTATCAACTGATGAGTAGATAAATAAAATGTGATATAGCCTTTCAATGGAATTTTATTTGACAATAAAGAGGGATGAGTACTGATGCATGCTACAATATGGATGAACCTTGAAAACATCATGTAAGTGAAACAGGCCAAAGACCATATATTATGATGAAAAGTAGGCAAGTGGTTACCCAGGGCTGAGGGGCCCAGGGGAAATGAGTGACAGCTAAGGTTCAGGGTTTGGGTATAGGTTTCTATTTAAGGTGACAAAAATTGTTCTAAATGTTCTAAAATTGCTTATGGTGATGGTTGAACAATTCTGAATAAGCCAAAACAAACTAAAACCCACTGCCATTGAACTGTACACTTTAAATTGGTGAATTCTGTGGTTATATGTATCATATACCAATGAAACTGCTAGTTTAAAAAACTGCTTCAGGAGCACTGAATTCCCAAACTCCAGGCTTACAGAGTGCTTCCGGAGATCTGGGAAGGGACCCAGGAGTCTACATTTTACCATCTGCACAGCTGACTGGCTCTTAAACCACTGCCAAGACTTCTCCCATCCAGTAGAGAGCTCGTCCGCTATTTCCTGCATCTCTAGCGAACCGTGTACCTCCTGATGGATCACCTGAGCACTGGAGAGGTAAGGGGCAGACGAGCATCCTGCTGCCTACGTTGGGGACCCAGTCATATTCTGAGCAGTCAGCACCTTCTTTTTGCAGAGGAAACTGTGCCCAGGGAAAGGGGCGTGGCTTGACTGCTGAATGGATGTTCTTACACCTCTAACCCTCCTGGCCGTCTCCGGGTTCTTTCTTCTCTTTCTTTTCTAAGGTCTCAGAAGGGCTCTTCCTGGAAGTGCTTAAGGGCGCAGCTCGTAGCTGTAGGCGAGCCACTTGGCACAGGGGTCTCAGTGTCGTAGCACATCCTTTTCTTTTTCAAACCTCTTTTCCTTGGGTTAGTCCACTCCTCCCACCCCTCACCGCCCGGCGGAGCGGCTCTGTGTAGGACAGTGGGTGCTGCACTTGTGAGAGCAGGACTTTCTGGGTCCCTCTCAGAGGCTTCGACCTCCCGCAGGCAGGTAGGACCCGAGCTTCAGGCGCCCGAAACTCCTGGGTGGCGGGGACGCAAGCACGTGGCCCCCCTTCCCGGCGCAGGAGGGGCCCGGCCGCCGGAGCTCCCTAGTCCCTGGATCCAGGCAGGGTCCAAGCTCCAACCTCCCTGCCCGCCGCCCGCGGGAGGCGTGTCCCATGCGGCTTCCGCGTCCGGGGATCCGCAGGCGTTGCCCGGGAGGGAGGCGCCAAGGTGCGGCCGGCAGCGTCCCCCCGCCCGGGGCCCAACGCCAACTCCCAGGGACGGGCAGCGGGTACTCACCATGCGTATCTGGGTGCTGATGAGCAGGTAGGGCATGGTGCGCGCGTCCCGGCCAGGCTCCTTTCCTGGACTTTGTGTTGGGCACCGACGCCAGCCCCTCAGGCTCCGGGACTGCGACCAGCAACCTAGAGTCCAGTTATTCCGACTCTGGCCTCCGGTTGCGCCAATCCTTGAGCGCCTGGTCCGTGAGCCCCTCGACCGGCCAATCAGGAGCGGGCGCCCTTGACGCGCCCGGAGCTCGGAGACTCGAGACCCGCCCCCAGCCCTGGGGCAGCCCACTGGGACCCTGTGTTGTCACCCGCCGCTTCCGAGGGTCGTCCGGCGGCGAGGAGGGACCTCTGTTGGGTAGTGGGGGGATCGCTTCCGCACCGGCGCGCCGGAGATGGGAGCGGCCCCCGAACTCTGCTGGCTGCATTGGGCCGTGGCGCCCAGTGCGCGTGTTGACCTTGCTCCTTGTTATCGCAACACCTCCAGTAACAGGTTCCAAAGTCCTGCTGGTCCCCGTCGCAGCCCCTGTGAAGCCCAACAGGGAGCAAAGGGCGACCCCACTGAGGTCTCCCAAGTTCCTGCCCACCTCACCCAAAGACTCCTCTAAAACGTTTATCGGATCCCCACTTCCGACCCAGGACACTCTCCGGAGATTCCTTAAGCGCACGGCAGACAGACGGGAGACCCTTCCCGTGCGCTGCGCACTCCCGCCTCCCCGACTGTAGTTCCTAGCGCAGCGGCGGAACCTTGCATTTCCGTGGCCTTGTAGGTAAGTATGTAAGAGACCTGAGCACTCCACTGAGTGCCAGGCCTAGAGAAACAGAAACCAGTGGAATCTGGCCGTTCATAGAGCTTCCCGTGAAGCCGGAGAGACACGGCGCACGTGCAGGAGAACACAGGCAACACCTGGGACAAAAGAAACTCCCCGAACCAGCCACCAAGGAGGGCGGCGAGTTCACCTCCACGTGCTCACGCCCTCGTCTGAAGGTGTCAAAATCTGACAACATTCTTCATCTGCCTTGTTATGACATCTGCCTTGCTGTGATTGGTTTTTTAAAAAAAGAAAAGCAAAACAAAGGCAGCCTGTAACCTTCCCTCCCAGGCTCTTGAAAAATCTTCACTTCACTGAAGGGCACTTACAGGGCTCTCTCTGTGCCTCCAGCACTTTGACCAATGAGGAGAGAAATACAAGGGATAAATAGCAAGTTGTAACCCTAAAGAAGGGAAGTGGTAAGGAATCTGCCTGCCAATGCAGGAGACACAGGAGGCTCGGATTCGAGGATTCGACCCCTGGGTTGAGAATTTCCCCTGGAGAAGGAAATGGCGACCCACTCCAGTATTCTTGCTTGAGAAATCCCATGGAGAGAGGAGCCTGGTGGGATACGCCTGTGTGGTCACAAAAGAGTCAGACACGACTTAGCAACTAAACAACAATCCTTTAGGATCCTTCCTGGTCTAATCTATTTTTCTGCACTCTCTTTCCCTATTCTCTACCTCCAGGACTAGAAATTTAGCTAGAGAGATAAAACATATTTATGCTTAACAAAGGATTTGTTAAACTAAAAATTAATATATTAAGGATATATAAAGAAATCTTACAAATTAGGAAGAAAAAGAAGAAAAATGGGCAAATGACTTGATTAGGCACTTTTCAAAACAGAGAGTGGAAATAGGCAATAAACATAAAACATGATGTTCAATATCATTAGAAATTTGGAAATGCATATTAAACCACAATGAGATAATGCTTTACAGATTTGCAAAGAAACCAAAATGTGCGAGCATCATGTATTGGTGAGGGATGTCTAACAGTTGAAACATGAAACATTATTGTTGGGATTACAAATTGTTATGATAGATACAATCACCTTGGAAAACAATGTGGCATCATCCAGTAAAGCTTAAGATGTTCATTACTGTGACCCATCAAACCTCTCATCGATAAACCTAGGAAAACTCACTGACTGCATCAAGAATATTAAAAAAGAATATTCATAACAGCACTGTTTGTAATTAGCAAAAAACTGGAAACAGTCTTTATTGCCATCTGAAGTAGAGCAAGTTTTTGCTTGATTCATACAATGGAAACTATAGAAATAAAAATGAATGAAAAAGCAAATATTGGGAAAAATACAGAATAATTCTATTTATCTAAAGCTCACAAACATGCAAAATTAAACAATTTGAAGGAAATGATAAATGTAATATTCAGAGTAGTGGTTACCTCTGAGAGAAGAGAAAGGGATGGAGCAGGACAGAAATGCAGGTTCTTAAAAGACAAAAGTGCTGTGGTACATATACACCATGGAATATTACTCAGCCATTAAAAAGAATTCATTTAAATCAGTTCTAATGAGATGGATCAAACTGGAGCCCATTATACAGAGCGAAGTAAGCCAGAAAGATAAAGACCATTACAGTATACTAACACATATATATGGAATTTAGAAAGATGGTAACGATAACCCTATATGCAAAACAGAAAAAGAGACTCAGATGTATAGAACAGACTTGTGGACTCTGGGAGAAGGCGAGGGTGGGATGTTTCAAGAGAACAGCATCGAAACATGTATATTATCTAGGGTGAAACAGATCACCAGCCCAGGTTGGGTGCATGAGACAAGTGCTCGGGCCTGGTGCACTGGGAAGACCCAGAGGGATCGGGTGGAGAGGGAGGTGGGAGGGGGGACCGGGATGGGGAATACATGTAAATCCATGGCTAATTCATTTCAATGTATGACAAAAACCACTGCAATGTTGTAAAGTAATTAGCCTCCAACTAATAAAAATAAATGGAAAAAAAAAAGACAAAAGTGATGCTCTCCTTCTTACACTGGGATATGGGTGCAGAGGAATATAAATGTACTCAGTTCTTATACCTATATTATAAGTATTATTTTGTAGCCATTAAATATTTTATAAGAACAATCTTTTTAAAATATCAGAGGTAAGGCCACCATCCCAAGGCATATATCACCTTTCTTGAAAGAGCCAGGTACAGAAGGCTCTCATGTTCTGGGCAGAGACCAGACAGGGATTTGGGGTGTGCTCTACTCTCTCAGGCGGGACTGTGGAGGGGCAAGGAGGAAACAGGAGGGCAGTGCCTATCTCAGACTGCCAGGGATTTATTAAATTTGCAAAACTGGTCTGCAGATGCAGCATAAGAAAGAGTTCTCCATCCAGAATCACCTACCCCACTGCTGATTGCCCTGGCAGAGGCACGAACACCAGATAACATCTTTAATATCCAGGAGGAAATGAATTCCCCTACTTGGTCTTCCCATCTAGCGTCACCTCTTGCCACAATCAGTTTATCTGGCAGATCTTCCTCCCCTATAAAAGGAGGAGAAATTGTTCTTCTCCAACTCAGCTTTTCATTATGAAAATGAAACTGTGTCCACAGGGTTAATAGAGGCTTATGACTAGCAAATTATTACCCTGTTTTACAGAACAGTAGATAAGAAACAGCTTGTTAAAAACCCCCTCTGCTTGTAAACTCCCTTCACTGATAAAGCAAGCTTTATTTTTAAAAGCTAGCTTTAATTTGTGTTTTTTTTTTCTCTCTTTAATTTCATACCCTGCAAGCATCACATAGCCTGGGTAATATATCACAAGACTCCTTAACCACCCCTACAGATAACACCTTTGAAGTGTGGGTTGCTATAGCAACGGGAGCTCAAGTTGTTTCTTAGGAACTTGGAATGAGTTCATGTTCTGTTCAAGCTGGCTAAGACTGGTTGGGACCACTGACCCTAAAACTGGGCCCACACAGGTGTCCAGTGAGCAGCCTTTTGACGTAAGAGGGTCAAAATTCCACCATCAGATCATGCTAAGCACCTGCATTTTTCAACATACATCCCATGAAGAAGTGTATAACTGAGATATGGCCACACAGAACACCATTTACCTTAACTTTTCCTATCTCTAATCACCTTCCCCCATGCCTAAGATCACCCTGTTTCTTTTTTTAAAAAACTTTGGCTGTGCTAGCTCTTGTCATGGCAGGTGGGATTCTCCAGTTGTGGTTAGAGGGGTTTATTTGCTCCCCAGCATGTGGAATCTTAGTTCACTGACCAAGGATTAAATCCATGTCCCCATCATTGGAAGGCGGATTCTTAACACTGTACCACCAGGGAAGTCCCCTACCCTGCTTCTTTATATCTCAAGCCTTCAGAGAAGTGGATCTGAGATTTGTTCTCCTGTCTCCTGGCTTGGCTGCCTTGTTAATGAATTCTTTTTCTGCTGCAAACTTCTGTGTCTTAGCATTTGACTTGCCATGCTTCGGGCAAACAAATCTGGTTTGGTAACAAAAGCATTATCAATGTGGCAGGGGCTGGATATTGGTCATTCCTTATTTCCTTCCTTCCTCCATGCAGCTTTTATGGATGGTCTTTGCATTAGAGCTGTACTAGGCATAGGGAATACCCACTCCAGTGTTCTTGCCTGGGGAATCCCAGGGACGGTGGAGCCTGGTGGGCTGCCGTCTATGGGGTCGCACAGAATTGGACACGACTGAAGTGACTTAGCAGTAGCAGGCATAGGGAATGGATCAGGCTTGAACTCCATCCTGGAAGAGTAACCAGTCCAGTGGGTAGAGAGTCTAGAAAGCAAATATTTATGGAACCAATTGTAATAGAGGTAACCAAGCCTCAAAGACAAAGAAAGAAAAGATTAATTCCACTAAGGAATTAATTAATTAAACAGGTTTTTATTCCCTCCAAAGTAAAAATACTAAGTTTTTTCTTATTACAAAAGAAATACATGCTTATTTCAGAAAAATGAGGAAAAATATGGAAAAGATATTAAAAGCATTCCTTTCTCACCACCAATACAACATACTCAATCTCTTAGTGTATCTCAAGAGGTACTAATACTAATGAAACTGAATCCTTAAAAATGAGTAACTGGAAAAAAAAATCAGTAGCAGATATTGGTGAAGCTTTTTATTTAAAGGCCTTCACCACAGTCTCTGGAATTTTTAAAAATTTTATTAATTTTATTTATTTTTGGCTGCACTGGGTCTTCATTGCTTTGTGAGGGCTTTTGCTAGTTGTGGTGAGCAGGAGCTGTTCTCTAGTGCAGGCTCAGTAGTTATTGCACAGGGCTTGGCTGCTCTGCGGCATGTGGAATCTTCCTGGACCAGGAATTGAACCCATGTCTCCTGCATCGGCAGGCGGATTCTTA